GAATTCTCATGCTAGTTCTAGCACATATTAGGATTTAACTTGCAGGTCTTCATTTCTCATCTGTAAACTGATTGGATGATGATAGTATCTCCCCTGCCTAGTTCAGAGGACTCTGAAGGGGTGCAAATAAGATCATGGACGTAAAAGTGCTTTGATAAGGGTGGGGATGGGATTAAACATGACTTATATTGCAGACATTCATATAGCCTTATAGCAATAGTTTGCTTTTACATATATCTTATCAGACCCATTTAATGTCTTACAATTCTGATAATTTTAAAATGTGTAATATTTGTTTTTTCTGAATATAACATTAATGCATGTTTATTGAGAAAAAGGGGAGAAAACTACAAAGAAACAAAATAAATCAAATTTTAATGCAGAAGTGCCATTAGCACTTCTATATCTTATAGCCTTTAAAATTTATGTGCATAGAGTTATGTTTTGTACTTTCCAACAAAATTACATGTGCTATAATTTAATCTAGTTTTTTTCCTACTTACACAGATCACATTTTTCATATTCTTAAATATTAAGAACATGATTTTAAATGATTGGTTCAATTTCTCATTTCTACAAATAAAGCTATAATCAATGTCCTCATACCAAGAAAACAAATATGTGTGTTTGTGTGTGGTGTATGTACATATGTCTACAAAGGAGAGTAACAGTGTTCAAGATACATTCCAAACTGGTAAGTGTGTATGTCTCCCAAGGGGCCTGAGACATGAGGTCATACCTTTCCCTTTCTCTGCATTTGTTCAAATCTTGGAAGAAGAATCTATCTTTACTTGGTAATTTTTTTAATTTGTAGGAGTAAATGCAATCACTGAGAAAATTAATATAGAGTACAAAGCTCTCAAACTTTGAATTTTTAAGATTCACCTAGGGATTAAAACTGTGGCTGCCCAGCAACATGGATGGAGCTGGAAGGGATCATGCTCAGCGAAATAAGCCAGAAAGAAAAAGAAAAATACCGATGGTCTCACTCATAGCAGGAATCTAGAAAACTTAAATAAGGGACCAGGAAAAAGAATAACTATAGGAAGGAAAAAAATCAAAATCAACAAACAACTATGAACCAGAGACACACTATGGGGGGGAGGGAGGCGGGGAAAGGAGGGATGGGGGTCAAAATAAGGGGGTTGCAATTGTATGGGGAATATAAAAATAAAATTAAAAAAAAAAAAAAAAAAAAAAAAACTGTGGCTGCCCGAGCTCCATGCAACCTTAACTGCCCCAAATCTCGGGGTAAACAGGAATAAGGCCAGAACATCTGTATAATAAGCTCCCTAAGTGATTCTGATGACTGATTGCTGCTGCTGCTGCTGCTACTACTACATCATTATTAATTCCTACCATGCCATTTATATTAACTCCTACCATGAATACATGGTAGGGATGCCAAGTATAATTTACTACATGCCAGTCACTTTTCTCAGCATTTTACATATATTATCTTATTTAATTCTGAGAACACCCTCTAAGTAGATACTACCATTAACGTTCCCTTAACTCTCATTTTATAGATGAGAACATTAAAAAACAAAGAGATCATCAAAGTGGCCTCTGCCCCAAAGTCACAGGGCTTGTAAGTGACAGATCCAAACTGCACAACAAAGTCTGAAATTCATTGATAGTTTCCTAATCTAAGACAATGGCTGCATACTCTGGTGAGGTCATAGCAAATTCTGTTTTATCTCAGATATTACATTTAAAGGTCACTAGCAAAACAGATTTTGTAAAGTAAGCATGGTGAAATCATATTAAATCAGAAGGGGACAAAGGATCTAGGGCTGATTATATACTTTCAGCATTATCACATCAATTCATGTCTCCCCTATTAGACTATGAACCCCGAAAGTGTAGGGATCATAAGTCTTTTCAACTGTACCTTCATGGTACCTGATGCCTAATTAAGGGAGGATTTTAAGACATGAATTAATCAATAAATCCAGAAATGATCTGATAACTGCCCTAGGAAATGAAAGACTATTATGTAGAGAAGAAACAGACAATTCGTGTTGTGTCATGTGGCAAGACTAAAATCAACAGGTAAAAGGGAAGGGGAAGATTCTGATGGTCTGAAATACCCTACTAGGATCCTAGATCTACCCAGTAGCCGAGAAACAAGTCTGCAATTAGAGATTGATGACCAGAATCTAGGAGAGACTTCTCTCTCCTATAGAATGTTGGACTATGGGGCCTCTGGAGCTCTTCCAACGTTCATATTCTATTATTCAAAGTTATGGCATTTGTTTCTTTCATCACTCTACATTGACTAACAAAGTCCCAAATAATAAGCAACAGAGGAGACCAAAGAGTGTTCAACCAACTCCCAGTTCCCTCAAGGATTCAGAGAAGAGTAAATGTGCAGGAGTCAATCTTCCCATGAGGGCAGTAATAAAGAGCGAACCGCAAGCAGTGAGGCAGAGACTTGCAGGTAGGAAACAAGAGGGAATGACAAAGATGTTATGCAAGAAATGCCATCATTTGCACACAACTGAACTTAAACTTTAGGGGTCCATGGAGGGAACCAGGTTGAGGCTGACCTAAGAATGTGGGAAGGAAAAGCCTTCCAAAGAATGACAGTAACGGTCTAAGCTGGAGAGGCTAGAAAGCCCTGGGGTGATGACAAATTGGCTAGAAACAATGAGTAAATTCTGGTGCTAAAAAGAAAAGGCTTTAGAGGTTACTTAGTCAAACACACACAGACTTTAGAGATGGTGCCCTACTAGCACTGAGGAAAGAAAGGTTAATTTACTTTTTTTAATTGCAGATTATAAACCAAATACTATAACATCAATGATTTCTTCTTGCTTAGTTTCTAAAACTCCTAGATCTTTCCCTCATCTTTTAAGAAATCTTTTAAATGATTGTTTTTAAACAATTGTTATTTTTTGCTACTGTCCACTCTTTCTACTAAATTTGACAATCCTACTTGGAGTTAGCAAAACTGACAGTTTTAAATAATAGCTCTGAGCTTAATATTTGCAATCCCTTATTTATGATGAGTACTGAGAAATAAAAAACACTATTATTATCTTAAGAAACTACAACTTTAAGTAGAAGATTAAGAATAAAGAGAACCCAATCAATAACTCTCAGGTCCAAGAAACTACCTCACTCAACTTATAATCAAAAATTACCTAAAAAAATAGAATAATAGAAGTAACAAAAGGCTGAAGCAGAAACTCTTAAATCCCAAGCCAATGAACAAAATATAACACATTTGAATGATAAACTGAAATGTTCTGCTGGCCAATCATTTCCCAACATCCTTGTCAAACTATTTTAAGGATCTGAAATCTTGCTCTATAAAAAGCAAGTCCCATCATCTGAACTACACTAAGAGATTCTATCGCAGTAGTTACTGAAGCATAACACACCAAGCTTCAGATTTTTGCTTCCTATTTGTAAAAAAACTGCTTACCTCTTCTTATAGAAATTTCAATCTGTGACCAAACGGCAGACACATTATCAGAGTTTCAGTTCAAACACTAATTTAAGGTGTAAATTTCACTAAGGTCTTTCAAGCATTTACAGCTTAAATGGTAACATGATGATAGAATATTCCGCATCTCCGCCCCCATCGGTCTCCTCAAAGGAGTCGACTTTAGTGAACCGTAGTTGAGAGACTACAAAGGCTGAAAACTCCTTGATAAAACTTTCAAAATCTAAAACACTGCTAACATTAGCCAATAAACTCTGAATTATTATAAAACCAGATCTGAGTAACAAGTGCTTTTAAAAGGGATGCAATCACACAATTTTACAAAGATGAATCAGCAGTGAGTTCACCAAAATTTAAATCTTTCTTAGCAAATGGATAAGATAAATAACCCTCTAACTCTGGGACACTGGTGATATTTTTCATATCTGCATCCATGTTTCTATTCTCCCACACGCTGGAGGAGCAAAAGGAAGGAGCCCACACAGCAGGGTCCCTCATACCCAGGCCTCAGTAAATGTCACAGGAGTAACAATAACAACAACAATAACAATTCCCAAAGCCAAAATCCACCCCGGGAAAGGCACATGGCAGCGTGCAAACGTTTCCCCGTCCTGCGCCTCCAGCACCAGTGCCTCCCAAAGGGTGAGGAGCCTCTGGAGCTCTCACCGCCCCATCCCCAAATCAAAGCACCAAGTTGAAAGCGCCTGCAGCTCCTGGAGGGCCAGCACCCGGCGAGCGGGCCCCGACCCCTCCGCAGAGAAGCTCGCCCGGGGAGACACCGCACGCTTCGCGGGTGCACCTCATGTTTTGTTTAATTTTCGGATATAAACCTAACTATTTTAAAAGCATTATGTAATAAGTTGGGCTCTGGAAAACCCCACACTTATCTGAGCGGCTGGAAATGGAAAGCAAAATTCGATCGCTGCATTGTGCCGGCCCCGCGGGCGCCTCTGCAAACCCCAACAACAAAGGCAAGTTGGGGAGGCTGCACTGGGCTCCCTGCGCGCCGGCCGGCCTCCCCGGGTCCCCCAGCGCCCCGAGGCCCGGGCCTCCGCGCCCCCCGCGCCCCGCCGGGCCAGCTTTGTGTGAGGCCCGGAGTCCGCCCCCCGGCCCCGGCCCCCCGCGCCCCCCGACCCTCCGATCTCTCTCCACGCCCAGCACTCGCGACTAGTTGCGGGTCCCCCTTCGCCCCCGCCCCGGCGATCCGGCTCCTCAGGCGCGACCCCGGCTGCCCCCGGCCGGGAGCCCCGGGTCGGGAGGGGCCGGGTGGGGTCGGGGGGAGCCCACAAAGCCGGCGGACCCCACGCCTCCCTCCCCCGCGCTCCCTGCAGAGCAGCCTGGGACCCGCGAGCCGCGGGCTGGAAAACAGCCCCCCGTCCCGCTCCCCGCCGCCCCCCCAAGGCCGCCCCCTCCCCCCGAGTGCGCCCCAGAGCCGATGACAGCGCGGGACGTCGCCCCCCCCGGACCCCGCGCCCGCCGCCGCAGGAGCGGGGCGCAGGCCTGGGGACGCCGGAGCCGCGATCGGCTCCCCCCGCGCGGGACTTACCGCCGTATTATTCGCTACTGCTGCCGCTGCGGACGGACCGCCGCCTTCTCCACCCCAATGAGGTTAAGCGCTCGGTGCGGGGATTAAAAAAAAAAAAAAAAAAAAAAAAAAAAAAAAGGTAGCCGCCTAGGGCGCCTGCGCAGTGCGGTTTCCCTTTTTCCCCTTGCCGCCACCGACCCGGCCGGACCATAGAGAGGGGGAGCGAAGCCAGAGCGGCCGCTGCCTCTCTATGGTAACGCCCCTTGCCGCCACCGACCCGGCCGGACCATAGAGAGGGGGAGCGAAACCAGAGCGGCCGCTGCCTCTCTAGGGTAACGCCCCGCGCAGGCGCTGGCCCGGCTGAGCCGGCTTCCAGGAGCCGCCGGTCCCTGGGGCTTTCGCCTGCGCGGAGGACGTCATTTGACTCCGATGGGGACCCGTAGAGTAAAGACTCTTTACGAGCAGGGTCTAGGAGGGCTTGGGCCCGAGGAGCGGCACGGTTCAGACGCGGGCAAGGAGGAGTGGCGCGCCAGCAGGGTGGCACTGCAGTGAGGCGCGCTGAGGAGGCGGGAAAGCGGGATGAGGCCGGCCGACCACACTTCCTTCCGTCGCGAGCCCACACGGGGGAAGGCCTTTCACTTCTGGGTCACGCAAGCCCCGCCCCCGCCGGCGAAGCGCTTGCAGGAAATGTGCCCTGCGACTTCCCGTACCGGGCGGCGTCCGCGCCCCGCTCCCGCCCGTCCGGGAGCCGGTCCCGGAGCCGGAAGCGCGGCTTCTCGACGGCTCTGTGCGCTGTGGGGCCGCTCCGGCCGGGCCTCCTGGGGGCGGCCCCCCGAGACCCCTCCGTGCGGACGCCTCCGCGAGCAGCGCCCCGTCCGGCCCCTCGCTGGCTCCGCGCCGCGGCGGGCGTGCGGGAGGGGGAAGGCCGAGCTCGCCGCGGAGCGCAGGAGGGGCTGCCCCGCGGGTCAGCGACGGCCGCGCGGAGTGAGCAGCGCCCGGTGCGCTCGGTTCTCACCGGCGGACTCGGGCCGAACCCGGCGCCCCGGGCGTGGCCGGCGGAGGGAGCGGGCGCGCCGCGAGCTCGGACCTGACCTCGGGGGGCCGCGGGCGGGGAGCGGCGAGCCCGCGCAGAGTGGACTGTGGGTTTGATAAATAGGGTAAGTTTTTGAATTGTGGTTAAATGCGCGTGGCACCACTTTCCCGGGTCGCCGTGTTCCAAGTGCACAGATGAGGAAAGTGCATTACAACATATCAGCGCTTGAACACTGAAAGCTTTAGATGTCAGTCTGTTCATTCTCCTGTGAAAATGCACGCCTGCATGTGAATGGCTTTCTTTCAGTATCCTTTGAGAATTCTTCTGTCTTGCGGCACTCGTGCCGTGGCCCGGGCGAGGGCCCGCCCGTCTCTCCTTCCCCCAACTCCTGGCAGCAACCATTCTGCTTTGTGTCTCGATGAATTTGACTACTCAGGTGCCTCATATAAGTGGAATTATACATTATTTGTCTTTTTGTAAGCGTTTATTTCACTTAGTGCAATGTCTCCAAGGTTGCACCACGTGTCAGAATTTCCTTTTTAATGCTCATTAACGCTCCATTTTATGTGTATACAATCAAGGACACTTGGGTTGCTTCCATCTTTGGACAGTTATGAATAATGCTGTACAGCGGGTACAGTCATCTCTTTTAAGACCCTGTTTTCAATAGGATGGAGAAGGCTTTGAAACCAACTAGAGAAAAGCGTAGGGTTTCTAGTACGTGGTGAATAAACTTTTAGAAAGTGACCCTCGCAGTGGAAGTGCAGTGCATACTCCATCTGCATAAAGCATTTATGGAGACTTTTAAGATATGTCAGACATCATAGTACTGCTTTATGTAAATTAACGTTACATTTTCATTCCATCAAAATAAACACAGCACTTGTCATTTGTCACATTTTATGGGTGGGAAAACTCAAGGTTCCCTGTTATTCTGTTGACTAAGGGGAAGTCATTAACCACACATACCACAAGTGATTCAGAAACAATCCCATGGGAGCTAGGCATCCGTGGGCACTGACTATTCACTGGTTTGGACAAAGGATATTGAAAGAAAGCAATTCACATGTAAGCGTGCATTTTCACAGGAGAATGAATAGACTGACATCTAAAGCTTTCACTGTTCAAGTGCTGATATGTTGTAAGAACTTGGCAAAACAGTATCTTCTAAGGTCATTTAAAGGACCCTGGGCCTCCCTGGTAGCACAAGGGGTTAAGTCAGCACTATGAAGCAGCTGGCAGCCACTGCAGCAAGTTCAATCCCCAGCCAGGGAACTAACCCACATGGTGCAGCAGATCTCTCCTGTCTCGCCCGCTGTCCCTTCAGCAGTGTATTTTAGTCACTATGCATATTCTGCTCGCCACTCTGGTGAATTCTCTCACGGCCCCTCTCCGGCACCTCTGCCCTACAGCAAAGCTCTTGTATGCATAAATAAATAAATCTTTTTTTAAAAAATAAAAGGATTCTCGGATTTGATTCCAGATCTGTACATTGCCTTTAAAAAAATACAAATGCTGGGCCTCCCTGGTGGCGCTAGGGGTTAAGCAACGCACTATGAAGTTCAATCCCCGGCCAGCCAGGGAGCAACCCACATAGCACAGCAGACCTCTCCTGTCTCCCACGCTGCTCCCCTCAGTAGTGTAATCTTTAAAAAAAAAAAAAAAAATTAAATGCCAGGTAAGTTTTGTATGTAATAGAGAAATTAGTAAGTCACACTTTGCATTTTACAAAAATCCTGCAAGGTCATTTAAAGCATTGATCTTTTGGCCGATGAAGAAATTGAGGGCTAGTAAGGAAAAAAATGACAAATGCCATATGGTTGATCTGTACAAGGCTGCATTAGAAACCTCAATCACCCCAGAATTCCCACTCTGCTGTGGATTCCATTACAAAGATAGATACCGTATTCTGAGCGGACAAAGTTTCTATTCAGTCTCCACTTCCTCAGACGCATGCCCAAACTCCGAAGAAGCCAGTGCTGAGTTGGGGATGACAGGTTCACTGCCGAGGTTCCTGACGTAGGCACAAGAAAGAACTCATCAGAGTAAGTGAGTTAGAAATAGTCTTAAATGTAAAGCAGTAGTGTGCTCGCTTCGGCAGCACATATACTAAAAAATGTAAAGCAGTAGTATACACTCAAGAAGGAATGCAAACAGATCAAGAGAGAAGCAAGCCTTGGGCCTTGAGCCTGCAGATATATGTGTATTTTTTGTGAGGGGGTTCACAGATGGAGTCCAGAACTGGGTCTGACCAGTTTTTTGTTTAGCAAGATTTGAGACATAACATGACCCCAGAGGTTAACCAAGTTAGAGGGAGGTTAAACAAGTAGAGTTTGGGTCATCTTGTCCTGGAATGTGCACAGATGTTTTTCCAGAGTTGCTGGATGGGTTAGGAGGTGAGGGCTGCAATTTATCTCACTCCTTACTCGGAGATTTTGGCCCCATCTGTATTTATTTAAGCTCTTGTTTACCAGTAAGATGAAAACAATGGGAAGAGCAAAGTTTTGTCCTTGAGTCCTGTCCCTCTGTCTCTGTCCTGAGAACCTTCCTGTCTCATTCCCCCTGAAATATCTTTCATCCTCTTTGAACAGTAAAGGATCTGTGGTCTCAGTCTTCTGTAGCTACTTCCCTGCTGAACATGAGTATAGTTCCTACCTGCAGATATGAGGAATGCAATTCTGTCTTGGCCTAAGAGAGAGACTCTGAATTTGCAACATTCAGATCCCTGTAATGTTTAAGGAGAATGAGAGTAACTTTGGACCTCAGTGAGTGAGGAGACCCAAGGTCACCATTCTGTAAGCCAGTCCCATGGATTTGATATCCCTTGAATTCTACATCCTTTGGGGGGAAGAAGGTGGGGGGGGGGCTCCCTGGTGGTGCAGGGGTTAAGATGCAGCACTAAGAAGCTATCAGCACTATAGAGCCACTGCAGCATAAGTTCGATACCCGGCCAGAGAGCTACACACATGGCGCAGCAGACCTCCTGACTCCCCCACTGCTCCCCTCTGCAGTGTGTTTCAGTCAGTCTGCCTGTTCTGTTCCCCACTCTGTCTGGTGAATCCTTTCCTCCCCCCTCCACACTTCTGGCCTGTAACCCAGTTCTTGTATGCATAAATAAATAAATCTTTAAAAACAAAAGGAGTGGGGGAACTAAGTAATTTCAGAAGCAAGAACCAAAGACTAAAAGAAGCATATTCTTCTAACAGTAGCCATAGGACCGAATGAGTCCATTAATCTAGCCAAACCAATTAGAAAAGACTTTGTCTATAATGGTAGCCCAGGACCAATATCCAATTTCTTTAAGTTGCCTCTCCTCTGGAAAGCCACTTCTTTCTCTGTTTTCAGTTTCTAGATAGCCCTGGAGCTCAGCTCAAGTTTGTCGCTATTACTAATTTGTATATACAAGCCTCAGAAAAAAGGTTTGTGGTTTTTTTTTTGTTTTTTTTTTTTTTTTGAGTTCTTTAAGGTCTGAGAGCAATTTAATCATTTACCTCCATTAAAGTGTTGGTTAAGCAATGAGACAGACAATGTTATATGTGGCATTTATAAACTTAAAAAGATTGTAAACCAAATATGTACCAAACTCAGCAAAGCAGGAAAAATAGTATTCTTAGAGGAGACATAAAATAAAGTAATTACAATATGTGCTATGTCCAAATAAGTGCTGTAGGAAAAATGAAACAGTGAGAGGGAACAGGAAGCACTGAAGGTGGAAAGAGATTTCTGTTTAAATAGGTGGGGATGGGCAGCATTTAGAAGCCAACTTTAAGCAAAAGACCTAAAGGAGGGAAGGAAGAAAGAAATGTCCTTTACCTGGGAGAAGAGTATGCCAGGTAGAATGCTGAGGGCAGAAATCATCCTGAGGAAGGAGGACATCTACTACATTCTAAGAACAGAAAGGAGGCCAGAACAGCAAAAGCAGAGTATTGAAGGGGAAAAAGTAGGAAAAGAGGTCAGAGTAACGGTGCCAAATTGTGTAAAGACTTGCTGGGCATGGTGAGCACTTTGACTTTTACTGAGTGAGATAAGAAGCCTCTGGAAGGTTTTGAGCAGAGGAGTTACATGATTTGACTTTTATCCCCGGCCA